GGGGGGGGGGGGGAGAATGACGGAGCGAAGAAACAAGACAGGGTGACTCAGGTGCCCTCAGTTGCAACCCCATTGGCTCTCCTAAAAAGGCATCATTCATGCCCTCCAGCCAATCCCGGCCTGCCATGTGGTGCTGGCGTCTCATTGGAGGATTGCTATTTAGCAAAGTGCTCTCAGGCGAATGATGGGCAGGGTCCCCGGGATGGAAGTGAAATGAGAGGTCCCTGAGAGCAGGGTATTTTGTGAAACGTTTTTTTTTGTATTATTTTTTGTATTTCTAGGAGGCGAACACTTTGAGAAGGATCATTGAGTCTTAGCAGCAACACATAGTTTACAGCACATAAAACAAGGTGCTTATGAAGTAAAAATGCTTTATAATCAAATGAATGACCCTCCTGCCCAGTAGATTTGATACTAGAGTTTTGCGCTGCTCGTCCTGTCGACCGGTCAGCAGCAGCAGGTGTTTGTGTTCCACCGGCGCGTTCTGTGCTCGGTGCTAATGGGTGCCGTACGCGGCTTAGGTACTGCCAAGGTCAATTACTGCACAGGTAGAGGCTTTTGGCTGCCCCGTATTATTGCTTAAGCACACCGGGTCAGTAATAGCTACTAACTAAGATTATACAGAGTGCCCACGGCTTGTAAGCCACTAATCCAGTGCTCTGAATGGTTCGGTTCCATATCAAATCTGACCATGTATTTTATCAACCGGCTGCTTCCATCATTAGTCTTTTTTTATCACATACGAGCAAAACCTCCAGCTTTGTTTTGCTTGTTTCATGAATCTTTGCTAAAAAGGATAAGTCATTCTGATTCCCACCAACGCAAACAAATAAAACAGATTATATTTATAATATGTGCACACAAGAGAGGAAGCCTTGATGCAATCTATCACATTGGAGCAGTACTTCACTGTACAACTGTTCAGTAAAAAAGACGCAAGTCGTCTAAAAACAGGAAGAAATTTGCACATGATTATAACTGCAATAATTCGGATGTGCACACACAGAAATGCACATTCACACACCAGAGAGTAGGAGGTGGCAAATGAGGTCATCTGGACAATAAGTTGCTGTAGGAGACAGATTTGATGACGTGGAGTGCAAGTAATGGTGTGTAGGCCAGTGCAACATGGAGGGCATGCTCAGGGACTCACAGTTTTGCAGTGACAAAAAAAACAAGTGTCATGTGCTTTTTTTAATTTTTTTATCTCCATTTCTTTCCAGTGTGAAAGCTGACTTATTGCTGACGTTGTTCTGCTACATTCCAAGCTCTCATATTCAAGGAAAAACCAAGCTCAACATTACAACATATTAAATAAAACCCGCCGCAAAAAGGATGTAAATACCAAAATAAATATATTTGCTGCAGCGAAGCAAAAATGACTGGAATATCCAGTTTGGAACAGGTTGTCCTGCCTTCTGTGGTCTGTTACATGCAGTGTGCGGGGCACACACACATTCTGAAAGCGTTGCCTGGCTACAGACACACACAGAGCACCATTAAAGTAGACGCTACCACTACTTAAACTCCCTTTAATCATACTCGCACACACATTTGCACACAAACAGGTACACCATCTGAGTGTACACACACACACACACACACACACACACACACACACACACACACACAGGCACAAAACCCATTCACGGTGGGCACAACAGAAATGTCAGAAAAGCATTTAAAGGACAGCAGCGTTGTTCACAATTCACTTTAGCAGCACCTGAGGTGCTAAAAACAGAAAAAAAGACAGACAAAGCAGCCAGTTGTCCAGTCAGACATAATGGTCATTTTGAGGTCAGACCGTCCCTACAATGAATAATACAAGTATATTAATGTCAAATGAAAAGCCAGATGTTCTGCATCCTTCCACAGTGTTTTAAAATCAACTAACTCATGCATCCTATCCTCACACAGAACGCAGGAAGAGCAAGACGGAGTAACAGAGGGAGGAAGGAGTGAAAACTGAAATGTCGGATTGCCTGAATGACACAGGAAGTAGAGGGAAGTCTGTTATTGTGCCACAGGCCGGAGTGAAGAATATATGGGATACAAATGAAGAGCAACCACAGAGAACGACGGGACGCAACTGCAGTAACCAGACGGACACGTTGAGGTGAGGACTCAAAGTGGCAGTAGGTAATGGGACAGGAGGCAGATTTTGAGACCCAGATGGCAGGAAGTTTACCTGTAAAGCCCATGAGAGCTCCCTCTCTGGCCTGCCGCCTCAGCCCCTCTACGTCTTTGTAGTCGATGTGGACCAGGTCGATGGCCTGCAGACCGAACGCTTTGGTGGTCACCACCACCTTCTGCCTCGCGTAGAGGAGCTCCCTGGCATCTTCAGTCCGCGTGGCACCTGGAGAACAAAATACAGGGGTACGCTCACGTCAGACAGGTTACATAAGATCTCAGACAGAGGCAGGTGCATAAACTAGGAAATGAAAGGCGCAGAGGAGGTGGGGTGATGAACACATGAACGAAAGAGTTAGAGACGTAGAATCCAGGACAGCAATTACACAGATATACAGTACCAATATCTTTCTCTTCAATTTGTTAAGTGGATTTGATCACTATAATGATCTATAGTCATAAATTTGTCATTAAATCTAGTTTACTATATGAGATCATTTAGATAAAATACTTGTTTCTCAGTGTCCATTAAATCCATATTAGGGGTGGGAATCACCAGAAGCCAATACGATATGATATAATCATGACACTTGAGTCACGGTACGATATTATCATGACACTTCAGTCACGATACGATATAATCATGACACTTGGGGCACGATACAATATTATCATTTTACTTAAGTCCCAATATGATATTACTGCGATTTAAAACATTTTGTGACATGCGGAGAATTGCGATGTATTACCTACCTACTGCTAGTTATGCAGTTTGTCAACATCTGTTTTATCTTATATATGCCAGGAATTATCAAAAAGGGAGTGGACCAGCAGTTTAACCACTGAGGAAATGTGTCTTAACCTCCATCTCATTCATCACTCACACATCCCACATCCACAAATCATCCGTTTATTTAAAGAAAAAAATACTGGATTCGAAACCACTTTTCCTGCAGTACTTTAAATCATCTAAAACAGGAAGAAGGGGATCAACCAGTGAGACATGCTTTTACAAACAGGTTTTATATTGCCCTAATGTTCTCTGCCCCAAATCCAGAAAAGAAAGAAAGAGAGAAAAGAACATGTGTGGCCAAGAATAAGTGAGACGGTTAGGCAGACGGTGTAATAGCTACCTATGCTGGCGCAGAAGTCATCGGAGCCGAACACCACGCCGTCATGGTGGAGACCGGCCTCGGGAGCGAGTCGACGGATTTCCTCACACACCGCCTGGACAGAATATATATTAGCACAACACAGGCTGACTGAAGTGACACAGGTGTAAAGAGGGAGAGAAACGTATTAGCACCAATGCTGCGGAGTTAATCTTGATCCAATATTCAAACAGTAGTTCAGATAATGTGGATTTCTGAGTTTACAAAAACAGCCATCAGCACGACACATTCAATTATCTCAAACAAGTATATGCTAACGAACACATGTCTGTCAACATCCTAACTTTTATTCAGCTTCCTTTCTCCAAAGACATATAGTAATGTACTAATGTGGTCGTCTTTCTTGCACAACCCAAGCTGCCTAGCTAAGTAGTGGTGGCTATCCAACCTCAATGCTTTTTGAGTAGCATTCTAAATGTTTCTGTACAAGTCAGGAAACGTTTTTCGTAAGTTCTGTCAAGTATTGAAAGCTAGCATTAAATGTTTCGTCATATTTAGCCTTGTTTACTTATTCTACGACAACGTATTTCCCGTAATAAAGTTGTTGCATGGCTACTTTGTATTAAGACCACTTTGACACATGGAGAAGTTGGTTTATTTTGTTGAATTAAGGGTGAAAAAAACATGGGATTTTTTGTTGAGATGGCATTGAAATAGAAGTCATGTATCATATTGGTAGCAGTACTGAAAAATGTCAAACGGTAATGAGCCCCCAAAAAGACTTCTGGCCACATTTATTATCAAATGAGAAAAAAATAATAATAATTCTAGAATGTGAGTCTGTGGTGAAGAGCGGGAAACAATAAGAATGCGTCTCCTGGCTTTTGTTGGCCTCCAAATTAATTTCACTACTAGCTGTGCCAAAGCTTCTTCTTTTTTCTCCTGCTTGTAACCTGGGGTTCAGTCTGGGCAAAGATGCAGGGTGTTCTCAAGAAAGCACACAGAGGCACCCCCTGCCATCAAAACACACACAAGTACACACACCGACAGACACAACAGACACAGTCACATAATTGGAGTGGGGAACTAAAAGACAAATCAAAAAAAGGGTGGAGGGACAGCTTGTTTCTCCCAGAATGCCCCAAAACCGTGCCCTTTCCCCCGCGTAGCTGAAGGTCGATGCTGTACCAAGACAGGAGCTGCCTTGATGCTTGCCAAAAATATCATTAAGAACTCTTCCACTATGAGGATATTAGAACAGTTAGTAATTAAAAAATGTCAGCGTGTCTGGAGAGGGATGGAGGGAGACTTGCACGGACAGAAAGAGAAAAGAAACAAAGCTCATTTTGAGAGCTTTTGAATCACTTTAATTTCAGACGCATGGGGCGATTCCGCTCGCTGACGCTGTCTTTAATCTGCAGTGAACAATAGAGAAACTGCAAAAAAATGTCTGACGCAGGCACTTTTTTGGAGCGTCTGTTTGTGATTTACCTTAAAATTGAGCAGGCCCACAGCGGTTTCCACAAAGGTGACCAGGCGAATGGGCTCCGTCAGTGCCCGTCCTTTCAAGTTGTGCTGAAACCTGCCAACAAACTAAGCAAACAGGGACGATATCAGGTATGTATGTATTCTCCGCAGCTTTTGTGATAAAAAAAAAGGCTTTTCACACATAAGCTTGAATCCATTAGTGATATTTTGTACAATGTATTTTATATATATATATATATATATATATATGTATGAGGTATATTGTGTGGACTGTATTTAAGAGTTCCTGCTCCGATGTAGAATGAAGAATGTGTGGTGAAGTGCAGCTGCCACCCTCAGAGGAACACTTGTCAATGCATTATTAGTTATACGAATGAGAAAAAATAGGGAGCTCCTACTGAGATGCTGAGCTATTGAGTCAGAGCGAATTTAAAACTGGAGGCGAAGAAAATGTTCAGTATTTAGAAAATACATAAATGATATGACATCCTTCAAAATCCACTGTGGGGGTAAGAGACAGATAGGGGGAGGAGGAGGAGGAGGAGGGAAGGAAGGAAAAAAAAGAAGAAAAAAAAACGTTAACGTGCAAAAGCTCACTTTTGATTTGAATCTTGACACCTTTATTACCTGCACCGTTCCCATTTCGGTCCTTACTGAGAAACACGTCTGCGAGGGTTCAAATAGCACACAGAGAGAGAGAGAGAGGCGACAAAAGCGGGTGAAATGAAATATTTTACATTATCACCAGGGTTCCCCCTTTCGTCTGAAGTCTTCTGCTCCACCTTCTTTCACAGAGGCTCCCGCACAACTACAGCTTGTGCTCCCCCGAGAGAGTGTGTGCACACACACATGGAAATGCACACTCACGCACACGGCAAACCGAAGAAGAAACAAAATAGCGGGGGGGGGGGGGGGAGGGGGGGAAGAAACAAGATTTGGGATGTCTTTGAGTGTGTTTTACTCCCTACATTATTCTGTTTTGCCCCCCCCCCCCGAACCCCACCCTCCCCTCAGTGTGATGTGACACTTTGCCGAGGCCTTTATTCCGCGCGACTCCTGCTAATATGCAACCTCACCTAAGTAGGGTTTTAAAACCCGAGTTTAATTCTTTGAAGACCAAAGCGATTCAATTTTTTCCAACAGACCAGTTCACAGCGAGCCCTGGACTGCCAGTGGGGTAGCCCAAATTCCAAAATCTATCATCTGGAAACACACAAAAGCCCCCTTCCGCCAGATATTTCCTTTCAAAGCCAGTCAAAAAAAACAAAAGAAAAGAAAAGGAGAGGGCGCAAAAGCTCTGAGTAGAAATGTCTAACTCCATGTCCCCCCCCCCTCCACCCTTCCTCTCCTTTTCCTTAGCTCCCTCTTTGACACACCGGGGGAAAAAAAAGACAGATATAAATAACCTCAGGTGCAGCGCCGCCATTTCTCTAAATGAAGAGCAAAACAACCCGGCGCTCGGCACTCACCACTCTTGTTCTCTTGAAAAACCCAAAGAGTGGGGCTTCCATTGAAGGATTTCAAAAAAATAAATAGGGGCAATTTTAATCATCTCTCCATTCAATCTCAGTTGGATAAATCATATTTGAGAGATTTGCATAAATACAAACCATCAAAGACTTTTCATCTTCAAAGAGGTTTTCAAGACCCAATAGGCTTTGTACTGTAATCATCTGAGGTCACAACCCTGTGGGAGCAGGGCTGCTATGGCAACATAAAAACTAACGCTGGGGGCTTAGCATAATATCCCCCCCTCCTTCGCGAACACAGGAAGGGGTGGGTGTGGGGGGGAGTTGTCCGAGAGGGGGTATAAAAAAAGAGGGTGTAGATAAACCTATTTCTGTGACAGAGGAGACCAGATAGATGTGGCCCCGTCATTGGGGGAAACCTAGCTGATATCACACACACACACACACACACACACACACACACACACACACACACAC